AAAAAAAAGAATAGAAGCTCCATTTCTAATAAACAAAATATTGAAGAAAAAAATTAAAAAATAAAATATAAACTATAAAAGGTAAAAAAAAAAAGATATGAGCCACCTGATTCAACATGAAAAACCAATGATTTAGTTGTCAAATCGAGGTAATCCCATTAAAAAATATAAAAAATTTAATTATTAAACAATCTAATATTAAAGGGTAAAATAATTATCTCATTTTTAAAATCAGTGAAAGAACCAATAGAGAACAAATAAAAAAAAAAGCTTAATTTCAAGTTAAATATATACTGGGGATAAAATTGAAAAAATATAAACTTAAAAATAAGGGGAAAAACTTAAGCAAACTCAAATAAATCTCTTAAACTTGTGCTAATTTTTTAAATTTATAATCTATTAAATTTTATATACTCAAATTCAATCAAGAAGTTTAATTTTTAACTAATTTAATATGAAAGAATAAAACTAAAAAAAATCAAGGTATAAAAAATAAAAAAAATTAAGAGTCAAATCTGATTAGGAAAAAAACTAAAGAAGGATGAAATAGCAAAAATAAAACAATTTATAACAATAAAAAAATAAAAATAAAATCTAATACATGAAATAGATTAAAGGAGGATGAAATTGAAAAAAATATATTTTAATTTAATAAATTATTTCAAATAAAATAAATAGTAATTAAAAAAATAAAAACCAAATCTGAAAAAAAAAAACAATTAAAGGGTTATATTGAAATCTTAAATGATCATACATTAAAATAAAAAAAGAAAGAGAAAAGATAAAAAAAAAAAAAGTTGCTGCCATCAAACTAGAGTCTCGACAACTACATGCGTTGCCGCAACGTGATGATTCAAACACCACAATAAAAGATGATGCTTGGTTTGGATGACCCCGAATTTTTTCAATAATATTTATATTTTTTAAATTACTAAATAGCCCTTAAGTGAATCCAGATATAATGAAAAAAACAAAAACATATTAAATTATATCTTCAATCAAACTATTATACCATATCCTTTACTTTTTTTATATATTTAAAAACTTAAATATTAAAAAATCCTAAATATTTATATTTAGAAAAAACATCATTTTACTGTTTTAACACACAATATTTTACTCATAAAGTAACAACCTTTAATTACACCAATTTAGCACTATTGTGTTCTTAATAATATAATAAATAATATAATGAATTATTTAATTGATTTAAAATCATTAAATTTAAATAAATAAGAGATAAGTCTCTTCATCTTTAAAAATACCAGCTATGTAAATATGATATATTTTTATCAAATAATAATGGTTTGGAATCCATGTACCTGAAATGTAGATATAGTTATTTTTTAAATTATTTTTATATTAAAATAATATTTTTTATATTTTTTAAAAATTATTTTTGAGATTAGTGTGTTAAAATTACTCAAAATATATAAAAAAAATTTATCTTTAACGAAAAAAAATAAACTTTTTCAAAATGCATCGAGTTCCAAACAGTATCACATAGGTACTTGGTTCTGGACTCGAGTTTTGCGCAGGCAATATTCCATGTCACGACCAAGAAGTATCACGAAACGGCTATATATGGCAAAGACCAACAAGAAAGTGCAGGTTACGAAAGAAACTTTCCAGCATACTTTTATGGACTAGATGGAAAAGCTAAAACATTCCTATTTCCTGTTCATGGATAACGTCTATATATGATATCCAACATGGACACTCAATTCCTTTCTTGTAATGCAAGCTTAACCTCCTATCAAAACTAAAAATGCTTGATGATTCAAAAGGGTTTCTCCTTGGTATCCAGTGCCTTGTTGATTTTTTTTGTAATTCCTTCCCTTTCCTCGGAAAAGAGGATGGCATTTCTCTACACTTTTTGGATCTTAATAACACGCTTCTTCATATACAATATCAAGAGTCTTGAGAGACAGGAACCAAAAAAACTTACCAAGTCTCAAAGAAAAACATGGGTCGTCGTCAATACTTGCTGTGCTTCTTCTTCTTGTGCCTAATTAGCAGTGATCAAGGTCTAGTTAAGGGAGTGGTAGGGCTGGCATGTAACTGGGGGACTCAGTCAACTCACCCACTCGAGGCTAACATAGCGGTCAAGCTTTTGAAGGACAACGGTTTTAATAAGGTGAAGCTGTTTGAGGCTGATCCTGCTGCACTCAAGGCACTAGGGAAGTCTGGTATCCAAGTTATGGTTGGGATACCAAATGAGTTTCTAGCACCCCTAGCAAGTAGTGTTCAGGTTGCTGTAAACTGGGTCCAACGAAATGTATCCAGCTATATATCCAGATATGGGACTGATATCAGGTAAATTCTTTAGTTTCTTCTTCTTTTTATTGATGCTTTCATTATTAAATCTTGTCATCCCATTATTCCATAGAGGCTTCTATATTATACTGAAATAAGCACGATTCTTTTTAGATATGCATGAAACTTTGAGCAGAAAAGCTTTTGTAGCTAGAAAGGAATTCTGTTTTCAAATATTGCCATGCTGCGTGTTTGGCTTTTTGAAGCCTGTTGCATACGGTTGCTTCATGTGCTCTTTGATGGGGTGTTTTGACAGGTAATTACGAGGGGGAAAGGGCAAAAATATTGTTCTATGAAAATAAAACTGTAGTTATGCTAAAATCTGATACCATCAGCATGAATAATGCACTATATATTGACAACTTCTTCACGTATGGTTGCATTTTCTATTTGCTTTCGATGAATCATAAAGCCCACATATTGTAATGTGCTGCAAAGAACCAGATCCTTTTCCTTTACCTCTTCCTCATTTTTTTAGAGCTTTATACATCATCTCGTTTCTTTAATTGCTGCCTTTATCATCCTCTTTCTGGAAATAGAAAATATTATGATCAAAACCAGTTACTGAAGGAGGTTCCCCCCAAACCATAATAGAATTTAATGTGAAGTATTTGGTTATTGCACGTGTAATTTCAGGTATGTAGCTGTGGGAAATGAACCTTTCCTCCAGACCTTCAAAGACACTTTCCTTAACACAACATTTCCAGCACTTCAAAATATTCAAGCAGCCTTGATAAAAGCTGGATTAGGAAGGCAAGTAAAGGTCACGGTACCATTAAATGCAGATGTGTACCAGACAGACAGTGGCCTACCTTCTGGTGGCAACTTCCGATCAGATATCCATGGCCTCATGATCTCTATCATCAAGTTTCTCAGTGACAATAATGCTCCCCTTACCATTAATATCTACCCATTCCTCAGCCTTTATGCTGACCCCCATTTCCCTGTCGACTATGCCTTCTTCAACGGCACCTCTGCCCCAGTTGTTGATGGTTCCATATCTTACACCAATGTCTTTGAGGCCAACTTTGACACCCTCATTTCAGCTCTTGAAAAGAACGGTTTCTCATCAATGCCTGTCATTGTTGGTGAGGTTGGATGGCCAACAGATGGTGACCGCAGTGCGAATATAAACTATGCTCGCCGGTTCAATCAAGCCCTTGTCGATCGTATAAATCGAGGCCAAGGCACCCCAAAACGTAAAACTCCAACAGATATCTACCTATTCGCGCTCGCAGACGAGGATGCGAAGAGTGTCCGACCTGGAAATTTCGAAAGGCACTGGGGTATCTTCTATTATGATGGAGCCATCAAGTACCAATTGGATATGGGTAATGGTAAAGCTCTTGTTCCAGCGAAAGGTGTGAGATATTTGGCGAGGCAGTGGTGTGTAATGTCACCTGAAGCCAGCCTTTCTGACCCCAACTTGCCTAACAGCATTGCCTATGCCTGCAGTTATGCAGACTGCACAAGTCTGGGATATGGATCTTCCTGCGGTACGCTAGATGCTAGAAGCAATGCATCTTATGCTTTTAACATGTACTATCAGACCGTGGACCAAAGGAATGGTGCGTGTTCTTTTTCTAATTTATCAACCCTTACAAAAGTTGATCCATCTCAAAATACTTGTCGATTTGAGATCATGATGGATCTAGGAAAGCACGAGACACCTCCTAGACGTTCATTTGCAGGAAGAAAGGAAAATCCGGCAGCAATGATGGCTTTCATATCGGCGCTGATATTGATCATTTGTGGTGCTTACTGAGTTCGTTGGTGACAAAGCCAGCACCAATGCATATTCCAGGCCTCATTCATCTTCATGGGATTTGTAGATGCCACATATAGCTTAGTTTTTGATATCTTAATTTTACTTTACTCCAGCTTCTTTACAAGAATATGTAAATTCTACTGTTCGAATCATAATATGCGAAAGAAAATGGGATCCGAGCTGGCTATTTCATACCTGACAGCTTACATTTTACTTTACATATCCCAAGATTATTTTGTTTTTCTCACGAAACAAACTTCCGTGTCCATCCTTGAACGATTCGAATTTCTCATTTCTTTCCTGTAAAGTTGTGGTGATTAAAACAACCACTATCCATCAATCTTGAAATATTATTAAAATTTCATTTCTCAACCATGTCAAAAACGCTTTACCTCGGTGACCATGAGTGTGTTGTGGTCTGACAAAAATAAATTTTAAAGAAATATGTTTATCTATGGTTTGTTAAATATTTAATAAAAAATTATAATTAAAATTTATATATAGTAAAAAAACATATTTAAAATATTTAATAATTATATTTAAAAGTAGAGATAAAATTATTTTTTAAAATAATTTTTACTTAGAAATGCATTAAAATAATATTTTTTTATTTTTAAAAAATTATTTTGATATTAAGATATAGAAATAATCTGAAAATATCATAAAAAAATTAATATTAAATAAATAAAAAAATTAATAATTTTTTTAAAAACGCTTTTAAAATTAAAAAACAAAAAACTTTACAATACTCTATTAAAAAATATATAAAAACTACTTAAAAAATATGCAGTTTCGAAGTCAGCATAAAATGCAATTTAGTTTTTTATCAAACACCTAACTATTTTTATTTCGTCACAAACATAAAAGTTAGCGGAAAACAATCTCAGCCCATCTACCTGGTCGCACGCAACTCAAGTTAGAGATAAAAGAGTCTTTTGATTCTCAATTAAACATCGAAGCGACAAAGCCCAATTTCACCAAATTTGGAACACCCAGCTCTTGAACTTAAAAGGGTACCAGACAAATGATATAGTGTTTCTTTTTCCCCCAATGGAGGAGCTAAACTCAAGAAAAGCGAAAGACAGGGTGAAAATGGTAAGACCAATATAAATTGAAATTAAATCAGCACCGTTCCAAAACACAGCATTCCCCTCAATTGTAGACCATGTACTTGGGCGTTGCGCTAAACTTCTGATAGCCCTTGATGACCTTGTTTACTGCATCAAGGAAATCTTTCTCCGTCACTGTCTTCCTGCGTGCTCTAATGGCATACAGCCCAGCCTCAGTGCAGACACTCCTAATGTCAGCTCCTGCGGAATAATCCAACATAAAAAGTTCTAATAAAATGAATGGTGAGACATCAAAAGTTGTGGACAGGCAAATACAAACTGCTGGGGTTGTACGATGCTCTCCAATAATTGCAAAATAAGAACAAGGGTTCTTGGAGCTCGCACAATTGTACAAGTTGAATTATGTGAACCGTGTTTCTAACGTTAACATAACTCGACTTTCCCCGACACATTCACAGCCTATGTGACCATTTTTGGTTGCTTCTACAAGCAATGGGCACGGGTTTCACTCCCTGGGTAAAGAAAAGACAGCTCCATCTTTATGACCTAGATCTTAATACCATGCCTGAAAGACATTGATTTGTTTCCCCTTTTCTTTTCAGTGGATAGTTGAGAGGCTCGTTTAGAGGGCCATAGTATGTAAAATGAGTTCAGTGAAGTATCCATACCAGTTGAATTTGGACAAAGGCGTGCAAGCAGCTCAAAACGAATATCCCTTTCACAGTTCATAGTTCGTGTGTGGATCTTGAAAATCTGAGTCCTGCTCTCCAAATCAGGCAGCCCAAACTCAACCTTACGGTCTAATCTTCCTGGACGTAACAGAGCTGGGTCCAGCGTATCAGGTCTGAAAAAAAATAGAACAAAGTAAGGTACCAGTAAAACATAAACTGTGAACTAGTACATTTGCTAGCGAATTGCAAGCCAACAAAATACAGAAGCATCAGGACGTGGAGAAAGAGTCAACTTGAAACAAATATTTCTTACTTGGGGATGGCAGTAGAAACAAGAAAATTTATACACACATCAGTTAGGCAACCAATTTACCTGTTTGTCGCCATCAACACTTTGATGTTTCCTCGAGCATCAAAACCATCAAGCTGATTGACAATTTCAAGCATGGTACGCTGAACCTCATTATCTCCACCGACACCATCATCAAAACGGGCACCACCTATAGCATCAACTTCATCAAAAAAGACGATGCAAGCTTTTTTAGACCGTGCCATCTGTAACAAATCAAATGCTAGTTACACATGAGTAACTGATAAGTTCTATTAAATAATTACAAATTCAATAGGCAATGTTTGACCTGAAAAAGCTCCCGAACCATTCGTGCCCCCTCACCAACATATTTCTGGACAAGTTCACTCCCAATAACACGAATGAAACATGCATCAGTTCTGTTGGCCACTGCTCTAGCCAAGAGAGTTTTGCCTGTTCCAGGAGGACCGTAGCACAAAACACCCTTAGGAGGATCAATTCCAAGCTTTACAAATTTCTCTGGGTGAAGCATGGGAAGCTCAACAACCTAAAAATAAGGCAATATAATTTGAGAAATCTTAGAAAAAAAAATTAATTGTGTATATGCATATAATATAATGTGTACAAATGAACAAGATAAATATCATAAATAGTATACGCACTTCTCTCATCTTTTCTATCTGCTCCTTACATCCACCAACATCATTATACGTAACATCAGGCTTTTCTTCCACAGTCATCATCGTAACACTTGGATCAATCTTAGGAGGCAACGGAATCTGAATCTGATACTTGTTGCGATCAACACTGCAATGGCAGTAAGATTGTTATAACCATATCTATATCCCATAAAATTGAACACACACACACACACTCAAATATAAAAATAGAAAGAATCTTATAAGAGGTCAAAGAGGGAAACTTACCCCACTCGCATGCCTTCTTCTATATCTGTAGGGGAGACTTTGTCACCAAGCCCAACCACAAACTAAAATTACAAAGCCAGTACAATGTTAGAATGGTTCATAAAAAAGAGGTTATGGTCAAAAAAACATCAAAGTAACAGGTCTCCCTCTTTCATGCTAGGTTGGCTGATGTTATTAAAAATGGGAAATGGTTTTGGCCTAGTGCTAGATCAGATGAACTGGTGGAGATTCAGGGAGCTATATGTGGCACTATGATTCCTGATACACTAAATTGGAAAAGGGCAGTTTGGGAGCTCATCCCAGATGGAAATCTATCTACTAGAAGTGGCTGGGACCATCTTAGGAGGAAAGATGCTCAAATTGAGTGGCATAAGCTGGTCTGGGGTTCCCCAAACATTCCTAGAGATAGTTTTATTGTATGGCTTGCAGTATATAATAGACTCTCCAGAAGGGTGACGCGAGTTCTTATGGGAAGAGGCATTGATGCTGATTGTTTGCTCTGTAGATCTGCCGACGAAGATAGAGATCATTTATTTTTTCCCAACCTTATTCCACTGAGATATGGCAAATAGCTCTACAGATTTGTGGTTATTCAAGGGCTGTTGGAGGATAGTAATTAGAGTTTGATCAGGCTAAAGGAAAACTGCAAAGGAGAACATTTCAGGCTATTCTTGGAAAAGTAGCTTGGAAGCTTCTACCTATGGTATTTGCATGCAACAAAATCTGAGAATGCATATGATAGTGGAGTATCTCCTGGCAAGATTTTCTTACTGGGTTTATCACATGGTGAAGTCCAGTTGCCTAACTCTAGGATTTTGGAAGAGGCTCTACTGAATCCAAAATTCAAATACATTTATAGACAATGGATGTTCTGAATCTTCTGATCTTTTTCTGTTAGTTTCTACTTCTATACAAGTTTGTAGTAGGGATTTATTTCCCTATAAGCTTATTTAACCAATGAAAAATTATTTATTCATAAAAAATTATAATGGTCCACAACATATTAGTAGCATGTGTCGATTAGAGTAACAAGCACACTAGCACAATTACCAATGCTCAATTTCATACATCAATTTTTAAAAATAAGTAGCCTAGAAAAAATGTCAGCAGTTGAGGCACATCATTTGCACCGATGTTAATGTAACAAGCATGAAGATGAAAAATAAGGAGGCTGAAGAAAATGGTTTAAGACTACATTATAAAGAAACACACCTTGGCAATTTGCTTCACATTTATAACATACTTTGCATCCTCGGTATTAGGATTAATAATCTTTGTGCACCTTGCAACCTGATAAAGAAAACAAATCTGTCTAAACCCATTCCTCAATATTCAAAAGTACATTACAGGTGATGTTTTGCTTTTAATTGAACCAAAAGAAAAAAAAAAATCCTGAAATCAAACCTGTAGTGGTTGGTCTTCTTGCATCATCTGCTTATCAGACACAAGGTCCCACTGGCTTGGTGCAGCCAAACCAGTGTCAGATTCTTTAATGCCTATGGATCAAACAAGCAACCTTTTAGAACAAGTTTATGTCCCAGGCTTGCAAACAAAGAAATCCGAGACACCTAGAAATGATAAAGCGCAAGGCAATTACAGAAGAAGTTGCTCAACAAAGAGTTTGAAGATAGAAACAAAACACATGGAAAAAAGCAATAACACCTGCTCAAGATCACATTTTCAATTAACAACCCTACACTTAGAGCGTGTTTGGAGTGTGATTGGAGTTACTTTTTAAAGTGTTTTTCACTCATAAAAATATGATAATAATATTTTTTTTATTTTTAAAAAATTATTTTCTAGATCAGCAGGTCAAAATAACTTAAAAACATATTAATTCAATTTTTTTCAAAAATGATTTTGAAACACGGTGCCAAACACGCCTTAGCACCTATGTAAGATCATGTTCACAGACCTAAACTGCCTATTTTGGGGAAAACTTCAAAAACATTGCGTTAAAACATCTATTGAAAGAACACCCATCTCTCTCTCTCTCTCTTAATTATTATTTTGGGTAATTCCAAAGCTCCTATGGTATCAAAAACTGATTCTTAACCTACAAAAGATACGAAATTTTGAAACTTTCAATCACTGGCAGCCCATACTCAGATCCAAAAAAAAATTACTAAAAAGACAGCTTAAAATAGGCATTTAAATCAGAGAAGCGAAGGAAGATTGAAGATTATTACCTCGAAGATCATTAATCTTCTTGGCTAAATCCTTAATTTCCTTCTCTTCTTTCTTAATACTGTTCGAGTATGGACCCAAGCCCTGCATTAATTAATTAATTAATTAACCCATATTCAGAGCTGAATTATTAAGAAAAATAAAAAAGTAAATAGAACATACATAAGTTTTGAGGAGAGCAATGTCGTCTTCGTCGAGAGGAGGAGGATTCTTCTCGTCCTTCAATATCTCATCATCGTCAACTGCTGCCGGAGCCATTAATTAAAGAACCGATCGATTCAAGTCTTCAACCTAAAGAGGCACTGAAGCCAGGCCAAGACTAAAGATGAAGTAGCAGGGGTTTTTTTTTTATTATTGTTATTCTTTATAGATGGAGAACGGATTAGTTTTTGGTTTTCATATAAATAGAGGGACCTGACCTTTCCAACAAGAAACGATGAGAACTTTGTTTTTTCTTTCATGCCCCTGGCGATTGCCCACATGTATTTCGTTCTTTCAAATGAAACGACATCGTGTGATTTATATGCTGTTTTTGAATTAAATTCTTTTTTTTTCTTTAATGATAAAATACGTGTATGATACACACACACACACACTTCTTACTAATTTATCGTGGAGTGGTTTAGCAATTAAAGAAGTATTTGGGTTTGGGATAATGTTTATTTTTTAAATTATTTTTATTTTACTATTTATTAAATTAATATTTTTTATTTTAAAAAATTAATTTTTAACATCATTATATTAAAATCATGCGAAATCATAAAAAATAATTTAAAATGAAAAATATAAAAAATTTCAGAAATATTTGTTGGATAGAAATTCTTTTTTAATATAAAAACAAACATTTTGTAAATAATTATATGAATTCTATATCTTTTACAGAAACTCCTCAGACATTATCTCTACAGGCATAGTTTAAAATAATATTATTTATATGACGTTGTTATAAAAAGAATTATACCTGGTTTTTTTTTTAATAAGCTTCATTTTTTCTTATCATGTATCTAAATAATTGTTGTAACTTAAAAAACAAACTATCTTGTCATTTTTATTACAAATATAGTTAATTTAATTATATGATAAAAACAACCATGATGAAATATAAAAGTAAAGATATAATAAGGTATTTTTCAAGATTATTTTTAATTTTTATTACTTGTTAATACCCATAATTGCAACTCTTTTAAAACTTCAAAAAAATAAATTGGATCTAATATATTAATATTTACATTTCTATATATTATAAAAATAAGATATTTTTTTGCTATCAAAGTTGTCATTGTAGTATATAACACTTGTAAATTTTGTTTTCCTTCTAAAGGAGTCCTTCGCTTAAATAAAATCATATAGAATCTTAAATTATGAATTTGTACCTCATGGTGTAGAATGTAAGGTTGTGTCTTTTTCTTGTCAACGACCATGCTTGCTCTTTTTTACAGTGAAGACTTAATTTCTAATCGTATTTTTAATATTATCTAAATACTTTAAAATAATTTGGGTTAATTACAATATTTTTATTGTTTGCATGAATAACAAACCAGGATTATATATTCATTTAATCATTTCTATAATAAATTTATGTTTCGTCTTGGTTGATTGACACGTCTATATAAACACGTATTGCGTGTCATTTATTGTTTTGTTTTTCATAAAACATAACAAGGGACGAACAAAATATCATTTGTCTCCTTAGTTAAAAAAATAAAACAAGGCCACAAGCACGGGCTCGGCCTCCGGGCCCATGCATGGCTAGCTGGCTATTGGTGAGCTTGGTGCTAGGCCTGATTCTTTTTCTGTTTTTTTTCTTTATTGTATTTTTTTTCTTGCACTTCAAAAATACTTCAAAATCATTTATTATTCAGTTTTGATATAGTTTTAAAATAAAATTATAAATAATTATTTTAATTTTAATAATTTTGGTTTCAATTATTATGTATATGATATGAAAATAATAATAATAATTTTTCCATGAAAGTTCAATTCAATTTTTTTTATTCTTAAATTTTAAAAATATATTCTGAATATGTTCTCATCACATTTATGATCCTTTTAACTTTCAATAATACATAAAATATAAACATATTTTTTTTGTTAACTTGTTGCGACAATCATAAAATATTTTTTAATATAAGTAAAGGTTCTAATTAAAAACCACATGTTCACTAAGATAAATAAAAAATTTATTTTAATAAAAAAATAAGCACCTACTTTTTAGAGTTTATAGTAACATCAAGGAATTCTATTAGATCTATATTTTTTTATATATATTTAAAAAATTTATGATTTTTTAAGAATTGACATGAAACTAGTATTTTCTATATTAGCTTTTATATATATTATTGCAATCTTAGTTAAATTAAAAATAGAAAATAAATTTATTATATACGCCAATAACTCAAGATGTTAATTTAAAATATATTTTTTATTTAAAAAAAATTGTCATCCATTTAACAAGAAAGGATGGATATTTGGAAAAACTAGCTATTTATTTAAGAAGGCATTATTGATGCCATCATTGACAGTAGTTCGAAGTGGCCTAAAGTATCAGGCCTAAATAATCAAAGCCTCGAAGAATAAGCCCAACTTACGTGGCCCATCTTATCTATGCCCAATGACATGGCCCATCTTATCTAAGCCTGAGCTCATTGCAGCAAAATCCACTGTAAGATTTATCTAGTTGAATGTTGTCGTTTTCTCATAAAATTTAATTCCAAATATTATTTATCAGAAACTTCAAAATTGACAGCAAACATATCCTGTTTATATTCCACGTGTCCAAGATTGATTTATTTTTTAATTCCCTACATATTGGATTATTGCTTATTCGGTGCAAAGGTCTTTTTGAAGTATATATCCATATTTTTTTAAAATATATAAGAAGAATATTGTAAAATATCTGGCTGAATCCATCATGAGAATAATCAGTATAATGAAAATGAAATCTTGAAAAATCTTTTTGATATATTGCAAACAATAACACGTTAGTTTGATTTTCTTGGAGCTATATACAACCCCAATCTCAAGTTGACAGACATGATAAAATAAATAAATAAATAAATGGAGGCAAAAAGGCGGTGGTTGTAATTTTATTTGGGTGAAAACGGTAGGATGGTTGGTGGCGGCGGCACTTCTGATGAAGATGATCATGCGATCGATCTCCCTCACTAGGTAAGAAGTCAGGACATTTGGTAGATTTTTTTCACCTCTTACAATGATTTATAAAGTCGGACAGCATGATGCAGCTGGTAAATTTCGTGGATTACCAATATAGTGTCTTTTATTTTCTTCGAAAAAAAAAAGGAATATTTAGAATTATCATAATTCATAGCAGTCGTTTTTTTTCTTCTTTTTTTTTGCATTTTGAACCGTGTTTTGCTATACTCTAAAACATATTTGACTTGAAAAAATATCAAATTAATTTTTTTTAGTGATTTTAATGATTTTTATTTGCTTTATAAAAAATAAAAAATAAAATATTTCAATGCATTTTCAATTAAAATACTTTTAAAAAAATATCTTGTATTGTAATACCAAATATAGTCATAATATAAAAGAATCATTTTATCTCTATATCTCAAGGGGACAGGTTGATATTTTATATCTTTTTAAAACAAAGTTTAATTATATAAAACATAAATAAAAATAATTAAAAAACCCACTATTTAAAAAAGGCTAAATACAAAAAAAAAAACAAAGAGCTATTAATTTAAATATAAATTAAAAACTATTTTAAAAACATATAAAAAAACATATTTCTTTTTAAAAATGTGAAATTACATAGAAAAGAAGGAAGTCCACAAGATCTAGGAGTCGCACCCTATTTAGCAGAACTCATGCATGAGCCCTGTTTTTTAAAGAATATAAATGGAGTAGTGATTAGTACTTAAAAGTGTATTTTTATCAAGATTTTATATTATCATTTTGCACTCGAAGTATCAATAACTCCTTAACTAAAACATATTTTATAATAACATATCTAATAATATAAGATACCTTTAATTTATGGTAAATGTTCATTTTAAATGCAGGCCTCTCACATAAATGAAAGGATTGATTGATGAATTTAAGAAATGAGATTAAAAGAGTAAAGAGATGGTCAAACTTAGAAAAGAGATGTCGGTGCAATCCAAACCGGAACATTGTTCGGTAATTGGGTCATATTTGGAGCTGTAGATCTCAGATTTAAGTCTACTTTATATGGATAGAAATGTAAGATATAGGCCTACAACTTTCATATGGAGTCCAAGATCTAAAAAGGTCATTTTCAAGTCCAAATTGTAGCAACAACAAAGAAGTCTGAATCTGTCTTTCAGCCCGAGCATTGTTCAGTATTTGGCCCATATCTAAAGTTCTAGAAGTTCAAATGAGCTGAATTTTTTACACAAGAAATCTGAGATAATTTTCTACAACTTTTAGGTTTCAAGTGGCTCCAATTTTGATGTTATCAATGACGTTTTGGGTATATAAGAGAAGATAAGGATTGTCACCAAGTCAAGAGTTAGTCACCCACTCATCAATTAGTCATCAAATCAATAGTTCCTAATTTTGGCCTATAAAAGGAGGCATTTGCCATGCATTTAGGCATCTTGGTTTCCAGATCAAGATCATGCTCTTGCTTTCTCTCTTTGTATTTTTTGTAATGTTTATGCTTTGCTTTCATTAATATCAAGTTTATGTCTTTCATTTCCTTTCATTTACTTAGTTAACTTTTATCTTATTTATGTTCTTATTTTGTTTATTTATTTTTCTTTATTTCATTATGTCTAGCTAAGTTTATTATGTCAAGGTGAAAAGGTTACATTAATGGTGTAAGAATAAGTATAATGTAAACTTAATATGGACTTTAATGTTTGATACTAACATGTTTTATATTTGTTATCTTGTTCACTCTTTAATACTTTGCTTGTTAAATGACTAATCTTGATTTATGTTGTATAACACTTGGTACAACAAATGCTTGGCACTTTCATAGCCCATAATGTATGGTATAACCGACACCTGAGCTATGAAAGGAACTTGATTTGTTGTTAACATAAGTTATAATCATGAATGCTTGACGGGATTTACAAGTATTAACATTAATCGAATAAGATGACTAATGAAATCATGTTAACAATCTATAATCAGATTGGAACCTCCTTTGTGTGTGGTTTCCAATTAAATAATAAGAGTTTATACTATACTTATTTGACATGTCATTAGTGGAACCTCTAATATTGACATTTGTTATTATCATTGTTTAATCTTTACATTAATATTCCATCTCAAAGTTCTCATCCTTTTCTTTTTCTTCTCCTTCTTTTTCTTTATTATTATTATTATTATTATTATTATTGTTACTATTATTGTTATTTATAATTGTTGTTTATAATTTGTACAATTAACCTCCCAGTGGTTCGACCCTGATCTTGCCGTGTTATTTATTACTTCGACACT